CAAGATTCTCTCAGTTTGATTTTATCAGTGAATTTAAGCCTCACTCTGCTGCAGACACTCTGACTCATTCTGAGCAACATTTACTAATCTATCAATTAGCTGAAAGTGCTTCATCTAACATAGTTATACAGTTTATTGTACAAGGTTACTCTGTTGAATTTCAGAAATATATTCTGAGCTATCATTTTAACTGAGTGAGGACCCATCAGTGAGACACCCTTCGTTTTCATCTCACAAGATGTTATTGTGTCACTTGAAGCTGCTGCCAAACAGTCATTCATCTGTGAAGGGAAAACATCCTCTGGTGACCACCCTGCATTTCAGTGTCCTTGAGTGAAACCCGTCCTGCTCACTCCCTGTGTACAGGAGCAGCAGAAGACAACTGCTGGCTGGGGCTGAGGAGCCAGGCGGTGAGATGATGATTGTGTAGTAACCAGGGATTTAATGTAGGGATTTAAGGATTATAAGGCAGCCCTTCAGAAAGGAGCATCCTCTGGATTCATCATTTGTGTTTCAAATTGCAGATGGAGATCAGAAGCATACATGCTGACCAAACCTCCAAAGGATTACTGAAATAACTGATGGTTTGCTTAAATGCATATGTTCTATTTTATCACCAGGAATTAACACCAAATCCTGAAAATGCAGTCTAAGGACAGAAGAGGCTGCAGATTTCAGGTGTGAGTGTGTGTTTTCCTGCAGATACAGCCCTCTAATCCATGGCCTTTCCCTGCTGCTATAGACCGAGAAAATGATGAATAAGTAATTTCCCGTGAACAGGTTTGGCAGCCTGAAGTGTGGAGCTGTAAACAAACAGATGGAGGAGGAGAAAGAGAAATGGGCTGCAGAGGAGAGAAGAGGAGGGAAAGCAACAGGAAGGAGAATACATCTTGAAGATGAATGAGTCTAGCATCAGTAATGCACATTACTGTAGGTTAATGAACTTTAGTGTTTTTGTATCATAACTAATCTGTGGGAGACACTGAAGGAACCCACACCAGCAGATCTTTCCCTCAGTTTAGAGCTGACTTTTGCCCATTAATGGCGCAGACACTAGAAAGGTACATCTATCTATCTTTCACTGCACTTGACATGCAGGACTTTCTGTACTTACAGTAATTTGGTCTTGCAAATTTTCAATATAATAATCACCTTTATTTGGCCAAGTATGTTACACACAAGGAATTTGTTTCCGGTACAGAACCGGTGATTATCTAATTTTCAATATTTTCACACAGTTGTCATGGCTCTTGCTGTTTGTGAGAAGAGCTCCTCCTCAGCCTTTTCTTTTCTTTGCTGGTATTAAGTATTTAGAAGAAATCTTTGGTTAGCACATTTTTAGGAATTTTTGAATTTGCATTCAGGAAACACCTGATGTTTCGTCCCATAACCAACCTGGTTGACAAGCAAACGCTCAGTTATTCTGATGCAAAGCAACCTGTGCTGATAGCAAGGCTCCCTGATAGAGCAATGAATAGAAGGCTCCTTTTCAGATCCCATAGCTCCCATTCAGCCGGGATGAATGGCTGTGTCAAATCCAGCCCGGGCCTCTAATAAGAGCTGAACTACAGGGCAGCAACGGCCACTCTGAGAGAGTCGTGTTCAACTGAAAACATCTACCTCTCTGTGCCAGATTTCTCAGACGGCGTCTGCACTCTGTGAATGTTTTAAAGGCCAACTAATGTTCTTGAAATCTGCTTCATACATAAGTAAGTAAAGTTTATTTAAAGAGCACCTTTCTATAGCAATATTCACAAAGTGCTTTCAACGCATACACTAAAAACGAGGCTATATCCTATAAGATACCAACATCATCATAAAATCTACAACAATACGAGCATTCTGGACTGCTTGTAAGCAATCCAAAGATTTTTACTGAGACAAGTGAATAAGGAGTTACAGTCATCTAATCAGATGAGACCATGAATGATCATTTCCATCTCAATTTGAGACACTATAGGTCTGATTTTAGCAAAATTCATCAGCTGAAAGAAGCAGGAACGAGTCAAGCACTTTACATGTTGCTCTAGGGTCAATGCCTGGTCCAACGTGTCCCCCAGGCTTCTGACAGCAGGTTTCACATTTGAGGAAAAATACCCAATGTTTTCCTTAGGGACAAGACCAGGACGAGCACTAAAGCACCTCTGTTTTGGCATATTGAAATACAAACCACTATTCTACTAAACAACATTTAACAGTGCAAACATTGGGCTTTTTAAGGAAAAAGGAAGAGTGATGTTGATAAAAACCAAATCATCCTGCAGTCCATCACAAACAAACCATACAAATGTTCTGTTTCCATTATTCTGATGACATGTAGTATATAAATGTAATTCAGAGGACGAAGTGCTCTGACCTTAGCAGTCCTCTGATCTTCCACCATGACCTTGACATTTTTGGTTCAGAGTGAAATATGATAACTAGTTGGGCAGACAAACTGACTTCTTGTAAATAACACTTAAAAATAAGATGGTTTTGGAGTAAATATAAAATAGATCTAGTAGAAATAAAGACAGAGCTGAATAATGCACTGTAGAGAAAAAGGTTCAGAGGAGGTTAAGCTTTTTGTCAGGTGGAATAAATGTCAACCATTCCCCTCAGTCAGAGACTCTGGGACCCTTTTTTAAAAATGCAGGTCCAAGGTGACTTGTCCAACGGACAACAGAGCCCTGTCGCTTCTTATGGCGCCTGATAATATCTATCATATCCCCTCGGCCCCTGACGGTGCAGAATGAGTCAGATAAATCACTTTCATTTTTCTGAAGCTGCTGTAGCATTCATCATGAACTCTGTGCACCAAAGGAAACGTGTCTGGCAGTGTCTGAAATCCTACAGCTCTTGAGATGTGACTGAAATGTTGGAGTCCAACACAAAAGCTGAATAAGAGCTCATGGATTCAGACAGAAGTGAAGGCTTTCAGACCAGCCAGAGGTTTTAAAACAGCTTCATGCAGCAGCACTGACAGATTTTGTTGAAGGTTATGGTGAAAATGCGACTGATATCAAACTGACTGATTAATTAGGATGCCGTTTTTGAATGTTGCCAGTTGATCTAATTAGCTGCCTTGTTGGAAACCTTGGGAGCAGCCTTTAAAAGCTCCCTGAGACAAGACTGAGGGGTAAATAAAGGCATGCCTTGCTGCAGCATGTGGCACAGTGTGCTCTGGTTTGAGAGAAGTCTGATACATCCTTAGTAGAGCAGATCAAAGCCAGGTTCTCTTTGAGCTTTGGTTGTTTGTTTCCTGCCTGCTTTCTGCATCTGATAGTTGATATAGTGGGTCAGACTGCTGAAGCCTCATCTATGATGTTTAATATCAGATGACCTGACATTACAGGTGTGCAGAGATGTGAGCATGCACAGGGTTTTGCCATCTTTCTTGAGCTCTTCCATCACTATGTGTGTGAACTCCCTGCAAAACCATGAGCACCATTCAGGTGAGACTGCCTGAAAATCTATTGTCCCCATTTATATCATTAAGATGACAATTCTTGGCGAGAGACTGAGGAGGCAGTCGTATGCAGACAGGATGAGGCTGTGGCTGTGCACTTTTCATTACCTTAAAATGTCTCCTTGTCTTCCTCACTTGCATCTTAAGGGGTTCATTATTGGTTCATTATTCTGACCTACAGTCAACAGGGAGTCGTTTGAATGAAACAGTGACTCTGAACATGTTACATCTGATGCACAGTCATAAAATCTGATGTTTTCAGCTGCTGCAGAGTCCTATCGCTAACAAGTTTTTAGTAAAAAATAATAGACCTGTATGACAGATTTTCTCTCATGTCCTTGTCTCCTTCAGAGCAGCATCCTGGCTCCTCCAGACCAGAATGGCGTCTAAGTCACCTGAGGAGCGAGGAGACAAGAAACAAGGTAATGAAAAGCACACAGTGACTGACATCTCCAAATGTGGCCGTTAGGAGCATTTTTTGGAACCTGGTTCTGGTCCAGATCTATTGCTTCAGTTGCTTTTTTCACACACTCATGGACCGATCCAGAGACGTGTAAAAGGCCCCAACTTTGCCCACAAGACTTATAGATTGAGCAACCACGTGTTTTGCAGTCCCTTTGTGTCTTTTTGTGGTTGGCTTCTGTTGATTTGCTTTGTTATTGGTCATTTTGTGTTAATTTTCACTTGTTTTGCATCTTTTTTGTCCTTTGGCATATTTTTGTAGTCTACTTCCTGTCTTTAGGGATTTTCCTCTTTCTTTTTTGTGTTTTGGAACATCTTTGATGTGTTGCATCATTTTTTTCATGTTTTTTGGCTTTATGTAAGATTTTTCTAATCATTTGACAACAGTCCCTTCACAATTCTTTGGCCTAAGGGCCTCCTGACCACTTGGGTCCTTGGGCTTGTTGCTGGTAAACCACAAGGTGGTCCACACCAGTGGTGGAAGAAATACTTGGATTATTCTTTACTTAAGCAAAAGTTGCCATACCAACATGTAAAAATACTCAGTTATAAGTAAAAGTCCTTCATCGAGGCATTCAGGGTGTCACTTAACTAACAGTTCAAAAGTATTAGCATCAAAATATACTTGAAGTATCAAAAGCAAAAGTAGTCACTATGCAGAATGGCACATTTCAAATGAATTATATTATTGGATTGTAATAGTTGATGCATGATTTTATTTATCAGTTTATTATTTCAGCTGCTAATAGTGGAGCTAATCTTATCTACTTTATTTAGTTGTATATAGTTGGGTAGGTTGTGAATTTCCCACTGGGGATCAGTCTATTGATTAACCTGTATTGTGTCCTGTGTGATTCATCTGATTCTGAAAATGAACTAAGCCGATCAAATATTTGTGGTGCAGTAAAAAATACAAGATTTGCCTCTGATATAGTGAAGTAGCAGGAAGTGGAAATACTCACGTAAAATACAGATGCCATTAAACTATACTTATGTACATGCGTGTGGCCCCGCCCCTCCCCGTGACGTCACACGCCCCCAGCCTCACAGCGGCTCTCCTCTGGTCCTCCGGTAGATCGGAGGAGAGACGCACGGAGTGAGTAGCGTTAGTTCATCTGTCTCCGCCATTCAAAACTTCTGGGCCTGGAAACAAGTGTATTGTCTTTTATTTCCCGTCTCTTTTATCTTGAAGAGATATGACGCGAGAAAATGAAGAAGAAGAAGTGACGGCGGGTTTGTGTTCCCACTGAGCGTTCGGGCTTCCAGCCAGAGAGAGGTCGGTTCATATTACACTCCAATTTAGACTTTATTACTTCTGATTATCTTATAAGCAAATGCCTCCCAGTGGCTTCATCGTTAATTCACCAAAGCAATGTGTGGAGAGAAATTCGGTTTTATTCAAATAAAAAATACAGTTGTTGTTCTGTAGTAATCTCTCATTATGTTGTCATGGGTTTTGGGCTGCTCTACAGTGTCTACACAGTTTATAGTGACATTGTTGTGACTTTTTAAAGTAGTTTTAATTGCTTAAGAAATGTAATCATCTTTTAAATTTGAATGTTTTTATATCTTATGAGTTTGTGGTGCTTAACAGTGAGGCTTATTGTTTTCCTACGGTTTGATTGTTATAGTATCCCTCTTATATTTATTATGTATAAATAATATTATGTCTTTCTCTTGTATTATTTTATCTGTCGGCTGTGGATATATAAATTAGAATAAAGTCCTCGTTTGCAGGTGAAATGTTAACAGCATTTGGAGGAAAATGACTGGACACGATAAGCAGGCAATTGGCGTGTAGTTTCACCTGTGCACACGCGGCTATGCGTGTGCACGCGTGCGTCTCCAGCCAATGCGACCATCTGATAAGCAGAAAATCCGCTCCCTCTGTGAGGTGGTTTGGAACACAGTTACCTGGCAGGCTGTGGATGGGGCCTGGTTCACCGTCGGTGTTGTCAACACACTCCGGGTCTAAGAGGAACGTGCTTTGTTCCAAGAGAGAGACTTGTCCTGTTTTTCTTTCATTCTGCTCCTCTTCTTCCTCTCATCTGCTGATTCCTTGTTTTTTTTTTTGCTCTTCGTCTTGCCTCCTACTTGTCTTCAGCTCTACTCCTCTATCTCCTGCCAGCTCGGTCTTCCTTCTCTTTCTTCATCTTCCTCCTCATCCTTCCATCTTCTTCTTGCCATTCCTCTTGTTCTTCTTAATCTTGTTGCGACTTTTATATCCTCTCCACTCTTCTGTTTCTTTTTGCTCCTCACCTCCTCCTCTTATTTCCACTTCATTGTGAATGCCTCCTCTTCCTCCCCTTTCCCTCAACCTCTTTCTCCTCCCACTCATCTTTACTCTCTCCTCATTTCTCCTTTACCTCACTGTTCTTCTTTTTCTCCTTTTCCATCTGCTTTGTTCCTCATCCTTCCGCTCTATCATCCATATGGTCTTGTCACCTCCCTTTTCTTTCTCTCCTTTCCCCCTTTCCTCCTCTCACCTTCTTTTTTCTTCTCATCTCATTTACTTCTTTGCTCTTGAAATTTCCTCCCTTTTGCCTCTTCATCTCCTCTGCTTCCCTTTTCTTCCCCTTCCTTCCTCCTCTTCACCTTCTTCTTATTCCTCACAACTTTTTCTTCACCCTGATTGTTACCTCCACTCTTATCTTTCTCTCCCATTTTGACTTAATTCTTCCTTCACTTCACTCCTCAGGGGATCCCATTTTGACTTAATTCTTCCTTCACTCCTTCACTTCACTCCTCAGGGGAAATGACACTGAATTACACTAATTATCTGGAAACAAACCTTAAACCAAGTCTTCATCCTAAAAGTGAATGAAACTCGTTTTTAGTCCCCAAAGGAGTCACCACACTATGACTGTCTGAACACATGTATCGCCCCACAACATGAGGAACACAATTATACACAAACACACACACACACACACACACACACCATGGTCTTTAACTACAAAATCCCAAATCCTGGGGCAAATCCTGAAAATGAGCACGTCATCATTTTCCAGTTCCACATGAAGGTGCGTTCCATTTTGTAATTAATGACCACTCAGCACACACACACACACACACACACACAATAGATTTAAGTGTAAAGATCTGAATCACCACACTGTTCTGTACACACTCACATAAACAAACTCAACATCTTGCTCTGACATTTTAGTTTTGCACCCTGTGTGATGCAGCAATAGACCAAACTCATTAGGAAATGTAACACGCTGATTACAGTAATTATCTTGAACTCCCAGTGGATTTTGAAGCCTGAACAGCAGGTGATGAGCTTCAGTGGAAGGCGGTCTTACACGCTCGTACAGTTTTCATCTACTGCTGTTTAATGTTTGTGTCTTGTGTGGAGCTTTTACATTTCAAAAGGAAGGGGAGGAGATGTATTTATGCAACACTATGAATGTCTTCCTGAAAAGACTAAAAATTGCAGAATAGAGGAAGAGAAATATAAAATCTGGTGGATAACTGAAGCTGAGAACTAAAAACAAATGAAAATAAAATATGTCCTCACTATCTAATAACTGTAAAAATGAAACATAAACGTCCCTTTAAATGGGTGACAGGTTATTAGCACACAACCGTGATGATTTAACAACACAGCCTTGACTTGTGTTCTTACTTCATTAATCAACCTAATTACACGATGAATTAAAATATGCAGAATTCCTTTCATAGAATTATAAATGCTGGTTAATGTGACAATTAGCTGCTTTTACATTTTCCCTGAATTTTTTATATTAGCAGGCTTTAATCGTGAAATTACAGAAGAATCTTTTATCATGTCATCTGTTCATGATTTGCTGCTTGGCTTTTTCCTCTGAACAAACAGATATGACAGGTCAATTATTGCATTTGAAACACTTGATAACTAAACTGTCTGCTGCCCTGAAGTTGACCTGGGGACGTGCTAAAAATACCACTGGCTCTTGCAGAGCACAGACCTCTCTTCTTAACTGAGGTGGAATCGGCACTGAGACTCAACATTTGCAGGTTCATTTATGTGGACATTCATCCTGGGGAGGGGCTGTAACATTCTACAAATGAATTCCTCCAGTGATGAACTACAGTGGTTGGAACAGAGTGGCACGGCTAACTAATGTACTTCATGTCAAGTGGAAGGGTATTTATTTGTTTTCTGCAGGCCAGTTATCAGCAGGACTGCAGGGTAAAATGTGAACATGTAAAAAAGCTGCAGCAGGACAGTAAGAAAGACCTGTAATCTGCTCTCTGTGTGCATATGCGGTTGGAAATTATTATATCAATATTCATCCAGGAATTAGGCTTGTCCAACTCTCTATTAATTAACTTTCCACTCCCCATTGTCCTCTTCTTCCACTCTGTCTGCCTCACTGCAAGGAGTTAATAAAGCCGAGTATTTCACCCACAAAGTGGGTAAAACATCTCCTTGTTTCCAGTTTTGAAGAAGGCAGTTCTCTGCAGATCCCCCATAGGCTCTTTCTTGGCGTTTCCTCTCCCTCTGTAATTGAAACTTTTCTGCTATAACATGAAGTATAGCAAAAGTAAGTTAACTTCTCAAATTGCTGAACAGTAGCCTGTACAGCTTGTGTCATTATTTATTTATTTAACCAGTATTTTACCAGGGGAAATACCAACCTCTTTCACGAGGGTGCCCCAGCCAAGACAGCAGCATCACAAGTTCCAGGCAAGACAAAAACATACAATGTAAAAACCAATAATAATGCACAAAATCTACAAAAACAAAGTGGCTATAAAATTCTGCCAATGATACCAGTTTTTAAACTTGGAATATGCACTCTGTGACATAAGTCTACATAGAAAGAGATGGTCAGACGACACCTGAGTACAGGACACAGTGATGGGTGACAAATCTTACCGCACCCTGACAGACAGAATCCAGTCTATGATGATACTGTGCTGGTGCCTTCATATATAACAAGTCACCATAGTCACGTTAGCAGCAACCTTCTATAATAGAGCCCTAACTTCAGTCTGAGCTCCAGGTTTTCAACATGTTGCTTGACAGTGAGACACTGATCCAGACTCCAAGATATTTCTAACGTGTAACAACATCACTTTGTCAGAACAATATCGTATGGTTTCTTCCCTGCATTAGAAAATAACAGGCAGTCCAGATGTAGACTGGGAAGAATCGTGTCTCTTATTTTCAACCTTGTTTCACTTTTATGTTTGTATAATAGCTTGTGTCATTTTCTCCTCAAATCCCAACAAGCGTTCTCAGCCTCCAGGAGGCTCAGCATGAGCCTGCCAGTGGAATCCAGTTTGCTCTGACTGAACCTCCTGCTGCGTTTCCCCTCGTAGAGAACAGCAGCTTCCAATCCCCCTTGTTTTCTTTGTTCCTCTGTGTCAGATACACCTCCTGCTGCATTTAGCGGTGGATCATCTTATTGAAACGGGGACAGTGTCTTTGCCTGCCTGCGTGTTATTGATCTACGGCTGCCCGCTGGAGGAGGGGCTGTTATCGATGGGTGACACACTCCCTGATGATGGGAGAGGGTGCAGGAAAATGAAATGTCACCTCGGAGTTTTCGGCGCGAGCTCACAGACGAACAGATGCAACCATTAAATTTTCTTTTCACTGTATGCTGTGAATGTAGGGATTTCACTGAAGTTCCCCAGAGGAACTGCTCAGAAACAGTTCCACTTATTAGGGTTTTTCATTTTGAAGCATGAGACACAAAAATATGCTGACTTACCTGATTTTAAAAATGCAGAGGAGAGCTGCAGGGTTCACTTCTGTAGTGCAAGAATGGTTCATAGAAGAACAATGAAAAAGTAAAGCAACACTATGTGTTGGCTTTTAGTTTGTGTGTTACTGTACACAATAAGTGGAGCAAGGTATCGGGACTCCTCTGGATAAGCCAAGAAGTTTAAAAGCAAATCTGTGGGGGAGGTTTTCATTTTTTTGAGAAAGTATGGTGATAGTGGGAGAGGGGGGACTTTGTACTGTAACCTGTTTTTGTAATCACAGGGGACCAGAGAAGCCAGATTTTCCCATCTAGCTGGAGAAAAGGTGATTTCTTGGTCATGTGTTTGCATAAGCAGAGTTTTAATGGGCGATTTACGTGTGAGCATGTGCTGGACAGACTTCAGATGGAAAAAGTAACTGTACATATCTGTACAGTTTTAAATGTGAGAGAAGTAGGACCATTCACAGTACTGCAAATACTTTGTCATGTTTTTGTTCATTTTGATGTGTTGAGTTAATTTATTCTTTTTTTTTTTGGAGGCCATCCTGACCAAGTGTTCAGAGCCAGATCAGCTGTATGAGAAGACAAAAGGCTCAGTTTTCCAGCCTGATTTGCTGTGTTTTTTCTCAACTTTGACTGAAACAAAAGATGTGGTGACACAGTAAAGTGGTGTTGCAAACACCTGCATGTGTGTTTAATATAAAAAACACTGAGCTGAAATTTGTCTCCAAACATTAAAGCTCTAATGAAGACACTCACTGAGACGCAGTTTTTCCAGTATGATTAAAAAGGTGTCATTAGTGTGCAAATGCAAATGTTCCCACTGTCGCTGCTCATCACATCCTACAGGAACAGCACTATTTCCTGTGAGTGAACAACATTTTACTGCAAAACACTTTCTTGCAGATTCTTTAATCAGATTACAGTCTTCCGCTGACTGTGTGTTTTCATACACAACTTGAATCACAGCTCAGTTCTGACAAGCGAGTTAGTTGATACAGTAAGATCACTGCAGCCAGAAGAGGGAGAGATGCTTGGTTCTCATGTGAAAATGGGGCTGATCCCTGTAGAGGATGATTACTGGAGCTCATTTCTTTCCCCAGCACATCCTTTGCTTTGTTAACCTTATTTTCTGCTGCTGTGTCTTTGAACTTTGCTGCTAGTAACTGTGTTACCGATCCAGAAAATTAAGCTTCTTTCTCCAGCCTTGCATTTGGAATTTGCACCAGATCCAAGCATCAACTTAAAGCTTGAATGCCGATATGTTTAAAACTCACTGAAATCCTGTGTTTGTTTCCCATCCAGATGAAAAGCTGCCAATGAGCGCACATGCTACGATAAGTACCCTCCATGGCTGCCCATCGAATCATCCGAGTGACGAGCGGTAACCACATCCTCCCTCGCTGTAAGTCTGAGGGGACGCTCATCGACCTCAGTGAAGGGGTGACTGGAGCCAGTCTCAATGATGTCAAAGGTCAGTGCTTCACTGCTGCTGCTGCTGCTGGTACAACATTTGAAGATGCTTCTTATATATGGATCAATATGTGAGTGCTGTTTTATTTGATATGTCCCCAACTCCCATTTTTAATAGTTGATTTACTTTTAGCTGTTGTATTTATTTTATTTTTGCAAATATGCTCCTTGCACTGAAAAGGATGACCATCCAATCTGTTGTACTTGTGCAATAGCAATAAAGGCATTTGTATGAAAAATTATGTTCTGCAAGGTACAAGGTTCAGTTGTGTCATTTATGATTAATAAGGTTTTAATTACTCTGGGTGGTCGTGGTGTTTATTCGAGATCAAGGATTTGTTTTCAAATTCCCTCTGACATGTTTAAACCGAACCACTGAACTATCTTTGCCCCATCACCTCATTAGCTCAACTGCTCCATCAGATCTGTGTCTGACTCTGACACAGTCAACTGCAGTATTTTGAGTAATCAGACAATGACTGAGTAAATGCACTCTTCTAAAGTAGAGCCAAACACGAATAGAAGACTATCATTAATAGTCTGTGTTCTGTTTTGTTCAGTGCCTTCTCCCAGTGCCTTAAGGCTGGGCACCTCCTCCTCCTATGGTGCTGCACAGGAAGTAGTTGCCATAAAGGATTACTGCCCCAGCAGCTTCACCACACTGAAATTCTCCAAAGGCGATCACCTCTATGTACTAGACACATCAGGTGGAGAGTGGTGGTACGCCCACAACAACATGGAAATGGGATACATCCCGGCCGCCTACGTACAGCCCGTCAACTTCAGAAATTCTTCACTTAGTGACAGTGGGATGATTGACAGTCTTGGGGAGGGATATGAAGATGGGTCAAAGGAGTTTGGAGGTCTGGGGGAGTGGACAGGGATGTCCCTTAAGCCCAGTAACCGTCCCTTCTCTGTGAATCCTTTTATTTGCTCATTAGACCAGAGTTGCAGAGATACAGGGGTAAGGAACTCAGCAGATCTTATTCTCTTTGACGCTCTAGCATCTCCATCTTCTTGCTCCAACTTTAACACTAGTACAGTCATGACCAGTGGATTTAGCAGCTGCCACTTTAACAATCCAAACCCCACCAGCCCCACCCAAGAGGTTGCCCCACATCGCCACCGGGATAATCAATTTTTCAGGAGTAAACGTTCCCACAGTCTGTCAGAGCTGTCCGTTCTGCAGGCTCAGTCCAATCCAGCCCTACCTTCTTCAGGATTTTTCACCGGTCTTAAGGCTCCTACCCCAGAGCAGTTTCAGAGCAGGGAGGACTTCAGGACTGCTTGGCTTAACCACAGGAAAGTAGCCAGGTCCTGCCATGACCTTGACTCCCTGGGGCAGAGTCCCGGGTGGGGGCAGACACAGCCGGTGGAGACCAACGTTGTGTGCAGGTTGGACAATAATGGAGGTGTTATTCAGCTCCCAGACACTCACATCAGTGTGCACGTCCCTGAAGGCCACGTTAGCCATGGAGACCACCAGCAGATCTCAGTGAAAGCCTTACTGGACCCTCCTCTGGAGCTCAATAGTGACCACTGCTCTACTGTCAGCCCTGTGGTGGAGATCAAGCTCAGTAACATGGAGACCAAGTCCTTCATCACACTGGAGATGAAGGTATCAGTAACAGTCAAGAAGGAGAGTTGTCACACTGTAGAGGTGCTGTGTGTTCGAAGTGATTGCAAAGAAGGGCCTTACACACCAATCCCTAATGCTTACATTTACAAGGACACAGTCCAGGTGCAGTTGGATAGTCTAGAACCTTGTATGTATGTGGCTGTTGTGGTTCAGTCCCAGTGTATCAGCCACAATATGACTGTGTGGGACCACGTGCAGAGGAAAGTAATGCTGGGTGTTTATGGACCCAAGCACATTCACCCTTCCTTTAAGACGGTTGTGGCCATGTTTGGTCATGACTGCGCCCCCAAAACCTTGTTGGTAAGCGAGATGGGTCGGCAGGCCACCTCAACTCCGCCAGTGGCCCTCCAGCTGTGGGGGAAGCACCAGTTTGTGTTAGGATGTCCTCAGGACCTCCAGGTGGGATTGTACTCCAACATGTCCAACTATCAGGTGAAGGCAAGTGAGGGCACCGGGGTGATTCAGGGATTTCAGGTTAAACTGGGGAAGGTCAGCAGGCTCCTGTACATGATCACATCACACAACCCAACCAGCATCTCAGATTTCACTCTCAGGGTCCAGGTCAAGGATGCCCTCGATTGTATCCTCACACAGTTCTGTGTTCAAACTCCACAACCGCCGCCAAAGACTGGAGTGAGGATAACAGGCCAGAGGAGGTTTCTCAAAAAGAAAGAGGTGGATCAGATTGTCCTCTCACCACTGGCTGTCACCTCCAAATACCCAAAGTTTCAGGACCGGTGCATTACCAACCTGAAATTTGGTAAGTTGATCAAAACAGTGATCAGGCAACACAAGAGCACCTATTTGTTGGAGTACACGAAGGGTGATGTCATTGCTTTGCTCAGCGAGGAGAAAATCAAATTGCGAGGCCAGCTGCGGACCAAAGAGTGGTACATTGCATACTATCAGGGGAAGATGGGGCTTGTTCACGCCAAAAACGTTTTGGTTCTGGGTAAGGTCAAGCCCATTTATTGGTGTGGGCCAGACCTAACGACCACCATGTTGCTGGACCAGATCCTGAAGCCTTGCAAATTTCTCACATACATCTACGCAACCGTGAGGACAGTTTTAATGGAGAATGTGGGGAGCTGGAGAGCATTTGCTGATGCCCTGGGATACGGGAATTTGCCGCTGAATTATTTTTGCCGGACTGAGCTGGATAGTGAGCCGGAGAAAGTGGCGTCAGTTCTGGAGAAACTCAAAGAGGAGTGTACGAACGTGGAGAACAAGGAGAGGAAGTCCTTCCAGAGGGAACTCATGGTGGTAAGACCAAAGGAGTGTGTGATGTGTGAGAGCTGATATACTTTTCGTTTTCTCTGTAACTTTATATTTATGTTAAGGTTAGACTGATTCTTACTCTTCATGAAAGTCTTTGCTTTGGCTTTTTTAATCACAGTGAGATTGTGCACTGTATTGGAAGAGATCCTGTGGAGTGACACTGACCTGAATTTCTCTCTAGTCCATCCTGAGACTAGACTAAAACCTGGAGATTTCAACAGCTTGGATTTTGGACATGTAGCTGCTTGAATGTAGATGTCTTTTGGTTAAGAAATGCTGCAAAAGAAAGGGAATGTTAAGGTAGCTAATTATTCAGTTCTCAGTCCTAAAATAATTCATTTATAACGATATTAAATACCAGTTAATTTTCAGATTTCACCAGCTGGAAACAGAATACTATGCATTTTGTTTGATTAATTACAACAGCATAACGTCTGGGGGGGAGAACTCACATAAAGGCTTAACAGTGGGCAACCGCTCCCAAACCATCCAAGTCCCTCACTGTCGGACTGACTAGTGTCTCTGCCCTCCACAGGGTATCTCTCCACCTCAGCATGTTTTTCATTCAAAGAGTGTGTGAGATTTGAGTCCTTATGCTCAGTAGTAAACAACTTGTCTGAGGTGGCTCCCAATGAGAACAGCCATCACATGAAAATGAAAACAATGAAGGGGGTAGGGAGAAAATGCTGTATAGGGAAAGCACAGGAATAAAAGTTAACATTTGAATTTGAGCAGAAACAGCTCTGTCAAGTGGACACAGGCCTCTGTGTGTTGCTCTTCGCTGACACAGACGGCACCCTGGCTTTTATTCCGTTGGCTACCTTCAACTCCTGCTGAGGCGCTTTAATTTACCACATGCACAAAGAGCGCCTTGGTGTTATTATCTCTAAACAAGGCTTCATCCTTGACTCCACTTCATTTTTAAAAATGTTTACTTGAAAATGAAACAAGGACACAGTCAGATGTCCTTCCCTGAGGCCCAGCAATTCACTTCTGAAGCCAGAAACACTTTCATCACCAAGGACAACACAGCAATTTGTCCAGTTGACTTTGCTGCAAAACTCTGTTCACATAGCAGAAAGTTTTACGGCACATTCAAGTGTAAGGCCGATACATGGTTTGTTGAATGGACAAACAGATTTCAAACTCTGGTGTAATGTTCTCACTGAATTAAAAAATGAGTTTATATTCTGTGTTTCAGTCAGGCATTTAGTTGCCAGAAATGGTTTAAAAACTACAAACTAGAACTGTTAACTTGACTTGGACTTGATTTTATTAAATTTTGTTGTTTTATAGAGTTCAGATGGTCTCCGGCATCGCTGCCCTCCATAACAAGTGTCAGGCTTAGATTAGATCATGGTTCAGTGCCACAGAGGTAATTGGTTATTGTAGAAACTGACTTGGTGGAGATAGGGTTAAATTTTGGGGGAATCAAAAATCTATTTAATCTAATTTGGAGATGGATTTTCATCCTGGATTTTATGTCCGGACACACCTTATAAACCATGTGTACGACAGTGGATTGTCATCAGGCTGCAGGAACACGGTCCAGGGAGCCACACAGGCTTGAATCACTAAATCTGCTCCTCAAAGGAAATAAAAGCAGCCAGTCTTAATTCATGAGTCATAATTATTACAAAAAAAAATTCCAACTAACTTCAAAATGCTCAGGTATCTAAGAGGGCATTGTTTATCTGGACAAGACAAAAACCCAAATCCACTCTAATCTGTGAAATGTTTCAAAAAATAATGACAAATTCAAGCATCAAGAGGAAACAATGTGATTCAGTGCGTCCAAGACACACATTCAGGTCGAGCACATCACCAACAAAGACACACACCACCTGCAATTTGCTCTACTGGGAAGGTGTGTTTGGAGAAGATGGGATGAAAAATAAATCTCACCTGAAGGGGACGATCGGAGTTTCAAAAGAAAATTGATGTCATGGTGAGGAAGCCAGAGTGTGAGACTCAAGGTGTCATAGCTTTATTGTCCCTGCTGCCCTGCAATTTGAGTAATGAGAGAGGTGAAAGCAAAGAAGCAGAAGAAATGGGTTTGGTTGATGGGATGTGAGAACTGATACAAGAGGAACAGAAAGATTTGAGACACTTGTATACTGTAGGAGGAGGCAAGGAAAGGACAGAAACAAAAGGCAGGGGCCTCCAATTCAGTGTGTGTCCCTCAAGTCACTTAGGTAACTGGATAATTTACTACTTTATCTATGATTCATAAAGCTGCAGTCATTTCTTTTTATTCTGGTACTGAGCCCTTTCCATGTAGCATTTTGTTAGTTTTTCATTGATCCAGTCAAGTAGTGTGTGATCTTGCTAAGAGAAGTGCTGAAGTTTGTCCAGCAGCAGCAGAGTCCAGAAATCCTTCTTTAGATGGCAGCAATAACAGAAAACAGCCAATCAATTAGCTGATTAATTTATTAGTTAAAAC